CCCCCCCCCCCCCCCCCCGTTTTAGAAACTAGGAACAACAACACTTTGGTGTCAAAGTTTCACCCAAATTTCTGGATAGATGGACGATGGAGATGTTGTGCTCAGCTAGAAAAGATGGCAACAGGCTGTGTGGAGTATATTCCAGCCAATACTGGTAGGGAATTCTTTTGAAAAACTCTCCTCCATCAAGACTTAAAGAATAAGTCAGCATATAAAGTACTGTTATATAAAGAGCCATAGGACATCTGTAAAATGTGTATGAGAAAAGTACAGTATGGATTTATATTTAATTTCTGTTGTTTTTATATAGTGGCTTGACTGCTTTGTGGTTTGGCTCACCATATGGTTTGAATCTGTAATGTGGATTTATTCATTTCTCTTGGGATTGAAGGTTCCCAGGCTCAGTGTTGCCCGTCTATAAAACCAAAAAATGTCTAAATGCTTAACTTCTCCATAATATGGTGCAAAGCAATGTGTGATGCCAGATAACCCACCTAGAGTTCTCTCCTGTTCTTGCTCTTGCCCTGTGTTTGTGATGCATCACCATCTAGAACACATATGGATGGTACTGTTAGCTGGCATGCAATATATGGGCCTATGCATTAATTATACATGTTAAATAAGCCAAATATATACTGCAGATTGCCTTCTTTAAGCACAAGATTCACTCTTGGATTCACCAGGATCTGTCAGTGGTTTTTTACTTTCAGGTGCACAAACCTCACCTCCTTTGCTCTGGGCTCTGTGTTTAAGGGCAATACGCTTACTCTTTTATCACCACTGTGTCCTGATTGTGGACTGTTACTATGGCCATGGCCAGATCCTACTCCAAATAAATGGCCACCCATTTAGCAAAGGTGATTTCTCTACACATTGTATAGCAATGTACTTTAGGTATTTTGAGCAAAGAAAGATCTTCTTACATGTATACATGAAATCTTTATCATAACACCACTGAATCACACCTACTGTAAAGAAAAAAGAACACTGGATCCAAGAAAAGTATAGCTCTGAGAAACAAAACTGGGGAAAATATTTACAATTGTTGTGAATTGTATTTCTATCCATAAATTGTATTTCTCTTCTATTTATATTGGCATACTTGTAAGTTTGGCAGGGCTTGCAGATATAGTTTGGATGAAGTCAAATGTTCATTTACTACAAAATTACTTCTTAGCAAACACTGACATCTGTTTACTCATAGTTTCTAGCCATGACATTTGATACAGTACCTTACCCAGTCTCTGGGTCACTGGAGATGTGCTACTTCATCCCATGATTAAAAACCATAAGAAACAATAAAAATGGAGCCATTCTGTAGTTCTTGAAAACACCCAGGTTAATAAATGTCCCACTTTCCTTCCCCCCCCCCCCGGTTTGGCATGCACATGAGTTATGTTGATTTTATATGTTTTTCTTTCCCTAGTCTCCAATAAACCTCTTCCACCTACTCCAGAGGTGAGCATCAAGATGTGGGTAGTATATATGGATGAGATATAATATTTGTGGTATTGATGTCATGAGGTCCGAAGTTCAATTCTGAAATGTTATATCAAATTTTGCATCTAAAATGTGGCTTAATGATTGCAAAGTTTTCTTATACTATAATTTGTGTGTGTAGCATCTCTAGTCATACATTTTAGTAATAGGCATGTAATTTTTGGTGACCATATTTAATAATAGGCATGTACTTTTTGGTGACCATATTCCAAAGCCATCATTTGGATATTCTCATATGATGCTTTCTACTTTTTTTACTTTCTAAGAATACAGCAACTAAACCCCAAATTGGTTAAAAAATATAGGGCTCATTCATTCAAGTGTGTAAGTGCAGTGTCCATTCATAGACAAAAGGTTGATATGCCTATTAATATTATAGATACAGAAATCTCCCTGTTTTGAAATATATGAAGATATGACAAAGCTGACATACTATATATGTAGTCATATTAAATTAAGTCATTTAAGTCATAAGTCATTTTCTGCATTTAATATGTCTTTCTTTTTAAAAAACAGAAATCAATACTAGACACCAAGGAATCTTCAGTAGTTGCCATTTATGATTATATTGCTCAGAATCCCCAGGAGCTGACATTACGATGCAACGAAGAATATTATGTTATTGATAACTCTGAAGTCCATTGGTGGTTGGTTCAAGATAAGAATGGGTAGGTGTACCCTTTAGAAAGAAGAGACTTTCTTTTTTAAAAATGTATGTTCTAAATCCTTCCTACATTACATTTTTCCCATGTGCTGTATAGTTTCTTATTCATTTTGCTTTCCTGTCTTGTATTATTGTACCATACGATGCAACGAAGATACATACATTAGATATAGTCCATGATGCAATTATTTATGTTTTGAAGTAATGTGAAAAATTATTTTCTGTATCCAGTGAGAGATGGTGCCATCTATTCATTAATTCTTTTAGCAGAAGGTTTGCTATCACATATTCTGCTCTAATAGACAATTTTAATCAAATCATATAATTAGAAAATGCTGAAGTTTCTCATCTTTTAATAGCAAGACAACTTATTTGTTGCAGTCATGGAGGATATGTGCCAAGCAGCTACATAGTAGAAAAATCACCAGATAATCTTCAAATATATGGGTAAGAATCTTTTGCTTCTTTATATATAATATCATTACCAAGAGACTAAGTTTGTTACTGAAACTTTGAACTATGTAGTTTTTAATTCTTAACATTAAGATGTAAATTAATTCAGTTTTTCTTTGCAAAAATAAACTGATAATCAGCATTCAAAGCATATAGAAAAATATTAACCAGTCAGAACTCTCACACAATGTTAGGTTTAATTAATGTCCTTCTTTTTTGAGAGTACAGAAAGAAATGGAAATCTCAGTCCCCCTTTTCTTTTGCCAGATGCGATCCTAGTCAGGCCCAACTGACCTTCACCGTCTTCTTCCGCCCGCTGCTGATGAGGCTTTCCAAAAGCTGGGAATGGCTTGGATCAGGGTGGATCTTTGCCTAACAACCAGTGGGATTTGGTTAATGACTGCCGGGATTTCCATCACTAAGCGATATGGTCATGTGACATTGTGCTTTATGACTGCATCACTTACCAATGGAAATTCCGGTCCCAATTAGTGTCATAAATCAAGGACTGCTTGTACCTACAAAGAATCTTATTTATTTGTAATGATACCAAGCATTAATGTTTATGAATTGGTTCCATTTTACATACAACATGCTTTGCTTTGTACTTAACCATGGCAGGTGGTACAACAAGAACATCAGCAGAACCAAAGCAGAAACATTGCTCAGGGAAGAGGTAAGGGAAATCCCTTTAGGTAATGATCACATTTTACTGTACTTGGATCAGTGTTTGTCCTGCTTCACTTACCTGAGCATACAGGAAACTAAAATTCAGTGGTGCAATGAAGGAATTGAGTATTCATTTTAAAAGCCAGCACTATCCTACCTTTAATTTGAATTGGTTGATTATGGTGCTTAATTGTTTGTAAATTATAATTCCCACTCATTGTTCCTCAGCCTGCCTGCTTCCCTCATATGATTGCTCAGCATATAAAATTTAGGCAAAATCACCACCTATTGATTTCCTTTGGAGGAAGGCTGGTATTGAAAAACACGAGATATCAATACAGAACAAGCAGGAAGGAATCAGATGTCTTGCACAACTAAAACAGAAGCCAAATTCCAGCTTTCAGCAGGTTTATCTGTATACTTTGGGAAACCAAAGCAGCCTGATGGTTCACATTAAACTGACATTGCTGCATCTCTGTTCATTCTCCCTAATTTGGGGGGTGTATGGTCTGCTTCTTGTTAGGCTTCTTCTCGTTTTCTTGCTTCCATTGCATTTTTGTTTTGTTTTTCTTCCCCATAGGCAAATTGTGTATGTATGTATGCAAGCATGAGTTATAAATGCCTTTATTACAGTACATGACTAGCAATGGATACATTTGGTCACTGTGAACCAATTTGGTCTAGTGGTTAAAGTGCTGGACTAGCAGCAGGAAAATCCAAATTCTAGTCCTGCCTTAGGCACAAAGACAGCGGGGTGGCTTTGGGTCAGTCACTCCCACCTAGCAGAAGGCTATAGCAAACCAATTCTGAAAAAATGTTGCCAAAATATTGCACGGACTTGTCCAGGAGTTGCCAGGACTCAAGACTGACCTGAAGCCATGCATGCATGCATGCATAAATACATACATATATACATAAAGTAATGTACGTAAGTTGATGTAGAGTTTCAGACATTAAAACTGGTCTTTTTACAGACTCCTTTATGAATCCATTGTACTTCATCTTTCTGCAGGATAAAGAAGGAGCTTTCATGGTGAGAGACTCAAGGCAGCCTGGTACCTATACAGTCTCTGTCTTCACAAAAGCATTAAAGTAAGCCAGATCTTAGGAAATTTGCATTTGTTTAAAATTTTATTTTAATAAAGAAATGTGAAAACAATAGATTTGAATAAACTTTGTCAGGGATTTGAAATAATTCAATAAAAAAGAATCTACTGTAACTATAATATACAGTATAGCTGATTCATGATACCCTTTGGAGTTCCTCCCCTTCAAAATAGTAATTCATCTGCATCCCACTTAATTTACGTCATTATTGTGAGAAATGTCTTTTAGCAAAGATTTAATTTAATATTTCCAAATAAGGTAAAAAGAATTGTTATATCTAATATCTTGAGGGTTTTTTAAATTAATACTTTTTCTAATAATTGATGAAGGTCTACAGTTCAAATACTATTCCATTTCTGGGCTATAGGTATTCTTGCTGCCATCTGGATTGATCATTTATTTATTTATTTATTTATTTATTTATTTATTTATTTATCTATCCA